AACCAGATATCACCAGTCTTCAGGAACTAAGGTGAGCTTTATGGGGGCAATAATTAAGCCCTTGGAAAAAATCAGCCTGGTGCCTTCTTGTCAGGTCGCTTCCTGGCAGGATCAGGAATGTGAGAAAATCTGAGGAACCTCAAGAAGAGAGGAATTCACCCAAATCTATAGGTAGTGTAAGCCAAGTCTAACGACAAGAATTCAGCTTGGCTTCTTAGCCTTCAAAGGCTTTTAAAAATCCAATCTGAGATTCCCTATGAAAAGTTCCAGCAGGATCCCTGGGTGGCGCAGCGGTTTGGCACCTGCCTTTGGCTCAGGGCGCGATCCTGGAGACCCGGGATCGAATCCTATATCGGGCTCCCGGTGCATGGAGCCTGCTTCTCCCTCTGCCTATGTCTCTGCCTCTCTCTCTCTCTCTGTGTGTGACTATCATAAATAAATAAAAATCTTTAAAAAAAGGATGTTTATAAAAAAAAAAAAAAAAAAAGAAAAGAAAAGTTCCAGCAAAGCAGATTTAGGAGCCTGTATCATCAATCACTATTCTTGTTGCACTTATGTAAATAATCAGGCCAAGTTTATTGAAACTAGATTTTGCAAACACATTTTTCTTACTATGGTTCTCTTTATAAACTGGATTTGACTATAGAAAGGAAACTGTTTTAGTAATACACCTTTGTGGATATCCAATTATTGTACTGTTAATTACCTCTGAGGTTTTCTTTTCTATCTATAAAATGGGCTATATACTGAACTCTTCTAGTTTCCTTCCATATATAATTACAACCCTCCAAACTAAGATTTCCAAAGTTCTTCTACTCTTCTGACATGGAATCAATGAGAAGTAAAAAATCCCCTTTCTGGAAGCCATGCAAGCTAAAGCTAAACAACTTCATATAAACTTCAAAGAAATCACCACAACAGCTCATTTATAGACAATCTTTGTGCCTATAACAGTGTGGGCTACTGAGAAAGATCACTAGAGACATTCAAACTGCAAACTAGGAAAATCTATCAGACTGCCACTTCCTGCTCTTGGTCCATCTAAAGATGAGTTAAACAGTACATCTAGAAAACTTCTTGACTGGTTGGTTGCCTTCAGAAGTCAGGGTCCTGGGATCAAGCCCCACATCCCAACAGACTCCCTGCTCAGTGGGGAGTCTGTGGCTCCCTCTGCCTCTCCCTCCCCCCTGCTCTCTCAAATAAATAAATAAAATCTTAAAAAACAAAGAAGTCAGAAACTGAAATCATAATCTGCCCCTATTACTAACCATTTTTTGTTTGTTTCCACAGAAGTGCCTCTTCTTAAATACCTGATTGCTTGCATTATAGACCTAACTTCTGGAGCCTGCCCACATCACCAACTCTTGAAGTGAGACACAACTGCGTAACTAAACTGTCTCTGGGCTGAGAAACTTCTTAGGGAAGTTTCAAAGGCAAGACTGAAAAGGAGCAGAATACATGAACCAAAATGTGCCACTTTGGCATGTGGATTATTTTGAGCTGAAGACATTCAAGACCCAGCAGTCTTTAGAAAAAACATTTACCTCTCTCTTAACTACCTAAAGAATTTAAATAGTGGGCCTGACTCAGAGAGTCACTTTGGTCTATTACCAAAGAAACATTCATCTCAATGACCCATCTTCCTGGTAGGGCAAATATCTAATTACCAAACAGCTGCTTTTCTTATTGTCCTGTGAGTTCTATTCCCCTTTGAAACTCCAGGCCCCTGTCCCATTCCTTAATTCATGATGGCATATAGTAAGCAGTGACTGCTCTACTTACCCTTGAGTCTCATATTTTTATGGGTTGCTGTACACAAAATTAGTTTTTCTTCTGTTGGTCTGTCTTGTGTGAATTATTAGACCAGCCAAAGAACCTAGAAGGGTAGAAGTAAAATATTTCCTCCCCTACACTGGTCTTTATAAAAGTCCCTGTGTGAATAATGGAGCTAGTCTTTATTTATTTATTTATTTTTTAAGGATTTTGTTTATTCATGAGAGATACACAGAGAGGCTGAGACACAGGCAGAGGGAGAAGCAGAAGCAGGCTCTCTGCAAGGAGCCCGATGTGGGACTCCATCCCCAAACCCTGGGATCAGCCCATGAGCCGAAGGCAGATGCTCAACCACTAAGCCGCCCAGGTGTCCCAATGGAGTTTGTCTTTAAAGGTCATTTTTTTTTTTAAGATTGTATTTATTTATTTATGAGAGACAGAGAGAGAGAGACGCAGAGACACAGGCAGAGGGAGAAGCAGGCTCCATACAGGGAGCCTGATGTGGGACTCGATCCCAGGTCTCCGAGATCAGGCCCTGGACTGAAGGTGGCACTAAACCGCTGAGCCACCCGGGCTGCCCTAAAGGTCTTTTTTTTTTTTTTTTTTTTAAGATTTTATTTATTTATTTGACACAGAGAGAGGGAGCAAGAGAGCACTAGCAGTGGGGGTAGCAGGCTCCCTGCTAAACAAGGAGCTTGATACAGGGCTTCATCCCAGGACCCCAGGATCATGACATGAGCAGAAGGCAGACACTTAATGAACTGAGCCACCCAGGTTCCCCTAAAAGTCATGTTTTTAAAGTTGTCTAACATTTTAGAGACTAAATGAGATGAGGTTGTTTTTCTTTTCTTTTAGCATAAAGCATTAATGGTTCTTTTGCATTGCAAGAAATGAGCAATCATTAGACAAACTTAAAAAGTAGACAAACCTTGTCCTTCCAAACCAGTATCTTCCATTCATTTTGAAGGACTACAGAGGATCTTGAGTCCTAGGTCCATTACCTACACTCAAACCTACCCTCAAGTCCACCTTTTTCTTTGTCCTGTTCCCTTAGGATCTTCTTTTCTTTTTCTTTTTCTTTTTTTTTAAGATTTTATTTATTTATTCATGACAGAGAGAGAGAGAGAGGCAGAGACACAGGCAGAGGGAGAAGCAGGCTCCATGCAGGGAGCCCAATGTGGGACTCGATCCCGGAACTCCAGGATCACACCCCGGGCTGCAGGCAGCACTAAACCGCTGAACCACCGGGGCTGCCCAGGATTTTATTTTCTACTAAAAAATTAACAAATTCATATGTTCAACTAAGATATGCAAGTATATAATCCAGAGAAATGACTAATGATGTAAGCTTTCTGGCATACAAAATTAGCAGTGGGAAAGCAGGCTTCTTTCTGGAGGTTCAAGTTGCTTTCCCTACATGCAGAGTCAATCCTAAAGAAGATCTATTTTCATTTCCATAAAAAAGTATTGTCCTATATTTCTATTGCTTGAAACATCAATAAGGAAATCTCCTAAAGAGCTAAGAACTACATGTGTCTCAGGAAATTCTTTGTTCCTAATCTCAATGATTAAGATTCTACCAAGAGATATCCCTCAGGGCAAAAGAAATCTCAGTCATCAATATTGCAGTTAAGATTGTATGTAATATACACTAAAGGATGTATTATTTTGAGCATGTGGCAAAAAAACGTATCCACTTTAAACTATGCACTGACTAATGATAATATACAATTCAGGGCATGATTTTTTCAGTGTCAGTTCCAGAGTCTCCAATGCCTGAAAAAATCTGGCACATATTAGGTGCTTTATAAAAATTTGATGAATGAAAGAGAACGATATATTATATCGATATAATAGGAGGGTAACAAACAGGGATTCTATTATAATGGAACAATAGGAAAAGAGATGAATGATTGACAGACACTAGTATCTATCTGTATCTATATCCATATATGTATTTACATATCTATATACCTGAAAGAGCAATGCTGAGTTAATTTCCTTCACTTTTGAACAATTATTAGTAATTTCTGTTGAGGGCAGCCCCGGTGGCGCAGCGGTTTGGCGCCTCCTGCAGCCTGGGGTGTGATCCTGGAGACCCGGGATCGAGTCCAACGTCGGGCTTCCTGCATGGAGCCTGCTTCTCCCTCTGCCTGTGTCTCTGCCTTTCTCTCTCTCTCTCTCTCTCTCTCTGAGTAAATAAATCTTTAAATTAAAAAAAAAGTAATTTCTGTTGATAAAGCTAGTATGCTATAAAGCATAATAATATTTTGCATCACTCTCAAAGCTTTTTTAGTTTATATTATTATTTAATTTAAATATATCTTTTTTATCATAAGTCACTATTTTTTAATTTTATTTTCTTAAAGATTTTATTTATATGAGAGAGAGCGAGCATGAGCAAGGGGAGCAGCAGAGGGAGAAGCAGACTCCCCACTGAGTAGTGGGCCCAACATAAGGCTGGATCCAAGGACCCTGGGATCATGACTTGAGCTGAAGGCAGATGCTTAACCAACTGAGCCACCCAGGCACCCCATCATAAGTCACTTTAAATCAGAATTGGAAGTGAATGGAATATGTTTTTACTAATGATGGTATGTTAATTTTAAAAACGCACAGTACTACACATTCAAAAACAAGTTTATGATGACCCTATCCTTGCTTTAAGATTTCTGTTCTCTTGAGAATTCAGAGCCTAGAAAAATATTGAATAAAATGTGCTTCCCAAAAAAAGAACTAGCATATTCTCTTTACCAAGAGCCAGAAAAATAAGAATGTTCATGAAACAACTATAAGATTCTTGGAGTCACCTAACTCTGGGAAACCAACTAGGGGTGGTGGAATGGGAGGAGGGCGAGGGGGTGGGGGTGACTGGATGGCAGGCACTGACGGGGGCACTTGACGGGATGAGCACTGGGTGTTATTCTGTATGTTGGCAAATTGAACACCAATAAAAAATAAATTTATTATTAAAAAAAAAGATTCTTGGAGTCAGATGCACTACCGTTGCGCAACGAGGCCTCTATAAGATTCTTACATAAACTCGTTTACTCCTAGTTAAAACTGAATATTAGATTTTCTATAAATCTATTTTTGAGGTGCTTGCTAATTTACTTTCTATTTATAGACTATATGCAAGAGCATTTGATTTCCACAATTACAAAATATACTGAAAGAAAATAAATTTGCTAGCAAATAGCTATTTAGTTACTGTTCTTAACTCATACCTTTCCAGCATTGTTCATCACTCCACTCACTCCAGATTCCATCATCTGAGCAATAAATATTCACTTTACTTCTTACCATAAAGCATAATTTTTGGCTTTCATTTGATGTTCTTGTGATTTGTATCTCATTCTCAACTGTGGTAGTCTGAAAGCCAAGTGAAAAATAAGATGCCATCATTTGATCTAATTGTAGCTAGATAGATCCCATTTGATTTGTCACTTCATAGTGAATTTTGTTGCATAAAATATACATATCAAATGACTAGAAAGGTATATACCAAAATCTTGACAGTGATTATCTCTCTGTATGGTGGGGAATTTTTTCAGTTTTTTCTTCCCTTCCTTATCTATATTATAATTTTTTTCTATTATAATGGATAATGGATCACCTGTAGTAAAGGGCATGTGTGACAGGGCAAAATGCCTAGATGTCTTTAGTGTTAATAATACCAGTATTTGGATTAGTGTTAAATTTCTCAGATTCCATAAACTGGAAAATGCCACATATACTGTTAGCAAAAAGAGCCATCATGTGAATGTTACTTCTATGGAAACTATAGAGTTCATACACATAAAGCCTTTTTTCCTCTTTATTCTTATTTTGGTTTACTGCCACAAAAGCTGTGTAATAGTGCTCAGGGCTTAGCATGAAACTTCTTCAGATATGAGAATACACAAGGCTGGATGATCTCAATGGAGAAAAAAAAAATTGCTTCAGTTTTGCTTTTCAAAGAACTGAACAGTGATTCTCATCCAAAATAACAGCTTCTCTTTTGTTGTAACTTCTTGGGAACCAGCATAATATAGTGGACCGGGAATAACTGGGTAATTTGTAAATCAATTCAGCTCCCAGTTTCCTCATCTGTATATGAAATTGATTAGAACTAATGGCTCACCTACATGTCTCCACCACTTCCTAAGTTGGAAATCAGTGAATAAAATTAACAAAAGCAATGTGGGGCTAAAGGCATCATCACAGTGTTGTCGCTGGGTGGTAATGAGTCTTTAATCATTACCTACCCCCCACCACCAGCCCCTCTTCTGCATTATAAGCAATGCAAGTAGCCCTGTCAGAGCCTAATTCTGACCTGATGTTTGTTCCTCAATAAGTGGTTTTCCTTTTTCTTTTCTTTTCTTCTCTTCTCACCTAAGGTTTCGTCGTAATCCATCTCATACTTGCACTTGGCAACTTTAATTTATTGGCACATTATTAGAAACAAATGACAATATTATCTCTGAAGTCCTAATGTAGCTTTAAAATTGGTATCATTAATTATGCCTTCAGACTATAAGCAAGAATCTTTCTTTTGTCTCCTAAGCTATATGGTTTTCTGGAAATTAAACTAAGATACATGTCATTCTATTCCTCATATAGATAGAAACTGATTTTGGTTCTCATGTTTGCTTATTTTATTAAAAAGGCTATGTTTAAAAAATAAATTTAAAAAAGGTTATGTTTATGATTTCTCCAAATAAATGCAATGTTCATACCACCCAAGTAGTATCATCTTCTGTGAATTCAATTTCATAAATTAAGCATTTGGCTGGAATGGGTCCTTTAGGCATGTTCCATTTCAGGTTAATTTCCTCTGAATTCTTCACAGTAAGACTAAGGTAGTCTGGTGGCAAAGGTTTAACTAAAAAGCAAAAAGAAGCCATTTCAACATGGAAGTTATTAAGTTTAGCAGTAGCTATTATAAAAAGCTAGGAACACCTAGTAAGAGAAGCCTCTAAGATAAATAGAGTGGTTCAAAACCAAGATTAGTTTATTGAGAAACTTGGTTATTTTGGAAATTAAATTTTGATAATTTACATATTCACAAATATTTAAGTCCAAGAGAAAAGTTAGAAGATCCAAATCATTACGGTCATTTTTCCACTTGCTTGCATTAGGAACAACTGTCACAACCATTACTACTACTATTTTATCAATAGCTAACTCTCATTTAAAGCTTATGATGTGTCAGGCACCAAACCAGGGATGTCACATAAACTCACTCATGTCTCACAAGAAACCTATGACGTATCCTCTATTATCCTCATTTTACTGATAAGGACATTGAAACAGAAATGAAACATAACTTGCCCAAAGTCATACAGCTAGAAAGTGGTAAATCCAAGATTCAAATCCAGGTATAGCAGACTCTGAAACTTGTCATTATTATAACTGTTAGAACCAGGAACTCAGACTCAGAATATCCAACCATTTGCCTATTGAGATATCGAGATAAGTGATTCTATAATTGCTCCAACATTAACACTAGACAAAAATACTTTATAGCAGACCAACTCTTTGAAGCTGTGGAATAAATTGTAAATTCTAAATAAAAATTCTAAAAAGACTTATTCTTCATTCAATTCCTTATTCCTGTACTTTTATTTTTTATTTTTTTTAAAGATTTTATTTATTAATCATGAGAGACACCGAGAGAGAGGCAGAGACACAGGCAGAGGGAGAAGCAGGCTCCATGTAGGGAGCCTGACCTGGGACTTGATACCAGAACTCCAGGATCATGCCCCAAGCCAAAAGCAGACGCTCAACCACTGAGTCACCCAGGCATTCCTCTGTACTTTTATTTTTATTTTTTTAAAGATCTATTTATTTATTTATTCATGATAGATATATATATGTATAGAGAGAGGCAGAGACACAGGAGGGGGGAGAGGCAGGCTCCATGCCGGGAGCCCGACGTGGGACTCGATCCCGGGTCTCCAGGACCCTGCTCTGGGCCAAAGGCAGGCGCCAAACCGCTGAGCCACCCAGGGATCCCTGTACTTTTATTTTTAATAAGAGTTTCTTCATATGCTCTATTGGCCCTCATTTTTCTGGCTTTGCATTTCCACAAATTTTTCTATATCTCTGTCTCTATCTCTTCTCTTCCATGTGGTTGTGAATAGCCTAAACTAGAAACATCTTGAAGTTGTTGAACTCACCTATATTTTGAAGCTGAAAAATAAAATAGCTGGGTCTGATAGGCTGGGATTCTGATGACCCATTAACACAGATATAGAAATCTTTATAGTCTGATGACTCCAAATAGGGAAACCTGCATCCCATATTTTTTCCATTAACCTTGATGTAATCAGTACACTCTGCTGAATGGTCCAAGCCCTCATACCTGTAAAAAGAGGTATTGTAAGAATTGTGCTTACCAATATCTTAAAGTATGATTGTATTCAATTTTCAATTATCTTAAGATACCAAGTGATTAAAAAAAATAATAACATGCAACATTTATTGAGCACCAACTCTGTGCCAAATCCTATGTTATGTGCTAGGGATACAACAGTTTAGAAGGCAGACATAGTCCATAATTTCAAGGAGATTACGACTTGGTAGGAGTCTTTACAAAATATCAAAGACAGGGCATGTACTTAGGTTATGTTTACTTGCTCACAGGATTTGTGAATCAAAGAATAATATTTCTATTAAGAGAAGTAGGGGTTTGTATAGATTATGCTCGGTGATACTGCATTTTTTATATTGTACTGGAGAACTTATATTACAAGAAAGCAGAACTAGAAGCAGACTTACAAAATATTGTTATGTTTAATAAAATAAATCAAAGTCCTCTGAAAATACAACACACATCAAGAGATAAGCCTCAGAAAAGCTAACAGAGGGGTCAAAAAGAAAAAGAGCTGTCTGGCAAGTAAATATCTAATTTCCCATTCTCCTAGACAAGAAATGTTGTCATATCATCAAAAGTTAACCTCTTTCCAGTAATAAAGTTAATGGGAATTAGAGTGGATTTCTCTACTGATTTTCAAAACAAAATGCCTGGTTTACTCTCCTAAATTATAGCTTGCAATGCAAAACGTGACATCTATAAAAGCAGACAAAATCCCTTTTGAAATTAGGCCAATCTAGCAGCTGATCAGGTACTGATACAAATAGCCAGACTCTACTGAATTCACTTTATGCCAAGTATTTCATTTGTCGTTTGTTTTTTTCACCCCAAGTTGTTATTTATTGCATGAAGGGGGTGATAAAAGAGACTTTTATGATAGTGAAAATATACTTTTTAAAAAATTCAATAGCTGCCAGCAGTATACTGGTTCTAGAGAGAGAGACGAAAACCCAAGTATTCTATAAAAAGCTTTAATTGGCCTTTTCAGGTAGCCAAGTATTTATTTTGGGCAGAGTTTGCAAAGTTATAGTCTCTTGGTTAGTTCACCTGATTAGAGTTTGGGAGACTTGAGTTCTAGGCTTGACTTCATCCAGATTTACTTTGTGCCAGTGGGAAGCCTCATAGTACCCTTATTTTCCAGTTTCTAAGATGTCAATATTTATCTCTCACTATTAAGATGAGGATAAAGCTATGTTAAATATGAACTACAATGTATAAGAGGGCAGAGACTTTGTCTTATTCATACTTTTGGCCTTTTTATCTAGAACAGTGTCTGGCAGTTAATAATTGCTTAATATTTGTGGAATTATTGAACAAATAAATCAGACCATAGAAATAGACCCAGCCAATGCCAGATGAAGAAACTGAGACTCCAGAAAGGAAAACTGCTTGCCCAAGACCACTAAACTCAATGATGCCAGAGTAGCAATTAGAACCCAATTGGCATGTTTTATAATTTCGCCTTTTAAAAAACAGGTACCTGTTAACACTGGATCCTTTTTCTCAGGATTCTTAATAGCTTATACCTTATCACTTATATCTTATGATTTTTCTAAAAAAAAAATAGCCATGATAATTTGGACCTGAAACACAAAGAGTAACACTTTGTTCTCTCTTGCTTTTTTTATGTTTAAATTCTGATACATATTTATCAATGTACCAATACTTTCATTTGTTTCATTAATTTAATGAATATTTTGTGATAATCTACTATGGACATAGCACAGTGTAGATAGTTAAGAGAAATGTAAGACACAGTTCATACACACCACTCTCTTAAAAATTTAAGGGAGCAAAGCACACATATATGACAAAAATTTAAATGCCATCCAGAGAAGGAATTAAGAGCTATAATAAGTCATAGTTCAGAGAAAAACTGAAGAGAAGTTGATGTGATCAGTAAAGAGCTAATGAAATTGAATACCAGATGGGCCTTGAAAGGTGGGTAAGCATTGGTGAGAAGGCCAGAGGGCATTCCAGATAATAATGCACACAAAGGCATAAAAGATCATAACATGGGTGAGAAAAAAATGTAGTGATGGGTCTAAATAAAGTGGAACATTGCCACTGGTGATAGTAGAAGGTAATGTTGGAAAAGCAGTGATACTGTGAGGCAGAAATTTAAATGCCAAACTATATTTTATCCTGGAGGCAATGAATAGCCACTGGAAGTCTTTGATATATGAAAATAGTGGGACACCTGGGTGGCTCAGTGGTTGAACATCTGCCTTTGGCTCAGGTCATGATCCTGGGGTCCTGGGATTGAGTCCCACATCAGGGTCCCCACAGGGAGCCTGCTTCTCTCTCTGCCTATGTCTCTGACTCTGTGTCTCTCATGAATAAATAAATAAAAGCTTTAAAAAAAGAGAAAATAGCAACATAGGAAGATAAATCTGGTTACAGTGTGCAGAATGACTAGGAAGGGAAGATACTGGAAGGAGAGACCATCATTTGGGAGATTATGCCAGGCAGTTATCCAGGTGTGGAATGAGGTGAGAGTACAGTAGAGTTCTTGTAGTACAGATGGGAAGTAAAAAACAGATGTGCAACCTTGCAAAAGAGTGTCAGAATGCAGTGATCAATGTTACCATGAAACAATGAAGGAATCGAGATAGAAGATTCAAATGGCTGTAAGTTTAAAAGCCTCAGTGATGGTTAAAAAAGGATAGGGAGGGGAGCCCGGGTGGCTCAGCAGTTTAGCGCTGCCTTCAGCCCAGGGCCTGATATTGGAGACCCAGGATCGAGTCCCACGTCAGGCTTCCTGCATGGAGCCTGCTTCTCCCTCTACCTGTGTCTCTGCCTCTCTTTCTCTCTGTGTGTCTCATCAATAAATAAATAAAATCTTATAAAAAAAAAAAAGATAGGGAAACCAGGAAAAGGACACAGTGTTAATAACAGGTACCTGTTTTTTAAAAGGCAAGAGTATAAAACATGCCAAAACTTTTTAGGTTATAATCCTATATATCTAAAGGATACAAAATTTAATCCAATGTTTCATTGCTTATATAACCCAGAGAATGCCATCCAGTAGCTACAGCCTAAACCTAATTACTCTCATTGAAAACCCCAAATACTTGTAAACAACCTTCATACTAAATACAATCCTGAAAAACAATAAGTTTAATTTAGTGAAAATAGTTACTTATACTGTAAATTAACTTTTATAAATTTTTTTTCTTAATAAGGAATTCTTATTATAAAAATACTTACCAGTAAAACAACTGGTAATTGGTATCAAAATGGACACCCATGCCAGGTTTCCAAGAGCAGACTAAATATTGCCAGTTGTAATATACACAGTCCATATCTTGAATTTTAGTTTCCCGATTTCCTAAAGAATGAATGAACTGTGAATGCTTGAAAGGCATGGTGATGAATCATTTGGGAAATCACTATGCAATTTTAATTCATTTCTTTTGACCTCTCGATTTCATTTAGCAATCAATATAATCAGTAATATTCCAAAAGGAAATTGTTAGAAACCACTTCACTGGAATGGGGCATGTAAAAATTAAAAAAAAAAAATGGGGCATGTAAAAATAAAAAATTAAAGGGTTCATTTAATGGTACTAGTGTAAGCATATGCAAAGGTACTAATTAATAATTCTAGGATTCTCTGAGCACTCACATACATATTTACTAATATGATCTCAAAACTGGGGACTATATTAACCTAATAAGATGCAGGTTTTGCCAAATGTGTTTGCTGATTTAAAGGATTCAAAAAGGCCAGTCACCCACTCCTAAGAAGAATTCTATCTGTTGCCACACTTTCACCTATATGTACAATCTGGTATATAAGAGTTAAGGGCCTATGGATTGTTCTGACAGTATTAAACATGAGAGAGCTTTATTTTAACCTTGTGGTGATGTCCAATAAGTAGTTTCTGCCCATGAACTTCTAACTTCTGATCCATTTGTGCATTGTGCTGGCAGAAGCGTGTTTATCTTTGCTTCAATACCTTTGTTAAGATCAAACCCATCTTTGTAATGTAGATTCTTGGTAATGATGGTCTGTTTTATAAGAAGATAAGACAAAGTCAAACTTATAAACAGTGACAGCATCATGAGCCACATTATTAGGGCTAAGAAGTCACCCTGAAATGTTTCCAATACCTAAGAAACTCCTAATGATTATCTGATACAATGTCCTAGATATATTCCTGGCAGAGCTCATTTCTGCGTATTATATCATTTGATGAGATCATCTGAATCTTAACACCTTATTCAAAATAACCCCAGGGGTGCCTGGATAGTTTAGCTAGTAGAGCATGCAACTGGATCTTGGGGTTGAGTTCAGCCCATGTTAGGTGTAGAGTCTACTTAAAAACAAACAAACAAGCAAATAAACAATGACAACAACAACAACAAACAAAATAAAAAATAACTAAAACATTCTGGAGAAGAAGAGTCTCTGTGGCAGGAACTTGAGCTGTAATGAACTTTAAATAGATAATTTTCAGATACCATATGCGTATTACATGACAAATGATCTAATCACATTTCAAATATCACTTGAACTCTTCAGTAATCATATACAGTAAAATCTTGGAGGTAACTGGAGAAAGTCAGACAAATTGCAAGCTTCCAGTGGACTATGATCATGTCATTATCCTTATATTCCTGATATCTGGCACAAAAAAATTGCTCAATAAATGTTGGATTTGAATTGTCTCTTGAAACTACCTAAGCTAAATTAGGAAGGTAACAGTATGCCTCATACAACAGAAATCTTTGAACAAACATGCTTCTTTATGTAGTTAATAAGTCAATAAACTTTCATTGAACATTTATTATAATATATGCAAACAACTATGCTGTGTTCTGTGGGGCAAGTACAAAGATAAAGAATACTTAATTCCTACAAAGAAAATCTTATAGTCCATATATAAAACCCTTATATAAGACCCTTATACAGGTATTTAAGTGTAAAATACAGTACAATGTCTAAGTATTCTTTGAGTCCATATTCCATGGGACCATGTATTTTTTTCCTGTACTTCTCATGGTAGTCTTAATATTGAGTGGGGTGAAAATAGATGTAGCAGGATGCACAGGAGATAACAGCAGGCATGGCAGCTTGTTATTTCTTAATAATGGCTATTGAGATACAGGAATCAGAGTGGACACTGACATCAAAATTACAAGAAAGGTCCTAATAATCATACCAATATTGCAAGTGCATGCTTGACTTACCTTCCAGTTTTCACTATCAATGTTTCGGTATTTTAATTCATATTCTATTGTGCATTCCTTAAAATTATCCAGAAACAGTGGAGGTTGCCATTGCAAAGAGAGATAACCTAAATATCCAGGGTCCACTATCTCAAAATCCTGAGGAGGATTAACTGAAATAAAATGAATAAAACATTTTTACTTTTTTCCTATATCTTGTGACAAAACTTGCTAAATCTAGTTTACTTTCATATGTCCAAAAGCTGGCAAATGGATAAATAAACTGCAGTACATCATCTATACAATGGAATATTATTCAGCCATAAGAAAGAATGAAGTACCAACTTATGCTACAACATGCAAGAGTCCTGAAAACATTAAGTTAATTTGAAAGAAGCCAGTCAGAAAAGTTACATAAGACCAATTTATATGAAATATCCGGAATAGGCAAATCCATAGACACAAAAGTGGCTGCCAGGGGCTGGAGGAAGGGAAGAATAACATGAACACTGAATAAATATTCAATATCCTTTTTGGGGGGTATGTAAATATTCTGGAATTAAGTAGTTAAGGGTGTTACACAAGTACACTGTTAAGATACTATAGACCACTGAACAGTACACTTTAAAAGGCTAGGTTTTGGGATCCCTGGGTGGCGCAGTGGTTTGGCGCCTGCCTTTGGCCCAGGGCGCGATCCTGGAGACCCGGGATCGAATCCCACATCGGGCTTCCGGTGCATGGAGCCTGCTTCTCCCTCTGCCTGTGTCTCTGCCTCTCTCTCTCTCTGTGTGACTATCATAAATAAATAAAAATTAAAAAAATAAAAAAATAAAAAAATAAAAGGCTAGGTTTTATGTTACAGAAATCATATCAATAAAGCTGTTAAAAAGTCTAGAATAGGGACGCCTGGGTGGCTCAGGGGTTGAGAGTCTGCTTTCCGCTCAGGGCGTGATTCCCAGGTCCTGGGATCAAGTCCCACATCGGGCTCCCCCTGCAGGGAGCTTGCTTCTCCCTCTGCCTATGTCTCTGCCTCTCTCTCTGTGTCTCTCATGAATTTAAAAAAAAAAAAAAAAGTCTAGAATACTGCTACATGCAAATATGACTTTGCCTATCTAGGTACTAAGTTTTCACAGAAACAGGCAATTCAACATGCAGTTACCTCTGTGGTTATATAGATCAGAATTTGGCCTAGGATGCGAACACTTTATTACATAAATCTCTCTAATTTCAAGAACCAATCAGTATTAATTCAGTGTTTACTATATGCATATAACATCATGGCACATATACACACACAAATGGGATAGAAAATGTAAAATATGACCACTATAACTAAATGCCTTAAGAGTTAGAACAAGCAGAAAAAAAAAAGAGAACAAGCAGATCTTGTTCCATTCTGAATCCTCTAATTAAAGTCCAAAGCTAGGGGGGCACTTGACGGGATGAGCACTGGGTGTTATTCTGTATGTTAGTAAATTGAACACCAATAAAAAATAAATTTATTATAAAAAAAAAAAAAAGTCCAAAGCTACTCCCTAGAGTATGGCAAACCAGGGCCACTCTTTGGAAGAACTTAAGAAAAAGTGTCAGGTAGCTGAGCAGAGTGGCATCAGAAAAAAGCCCATATTATTTGGGAAGAGGTAGTAGTATGTGGAAATGGCTCCCCCAATGGCTGGTTTAAAAAACAAACAAATAAATAATTCTATAAACTTCCCTACTAGCAAATCTAATAGTACTATAGTTCTGCCTTCACGTTGCCTTTCTGCTAATAATTTCCTTTCGTTTCTGGCCAGTTATTCATCTTAATGCCTAATCTCATAATACTTATTGAGGTGAAGAAAAGAACCCACAAAAAGAAACTGTGGCACAAATTATGATTTGACATGGGACCCCCACCATGTATCAATAAAGAAAGCCTCTACTGAGGATAAAATGACAGTCTTATTGTTTCAACTCTTAGGGTTACAAATCTTTGTGAAATGTGTTGTTCTGATTACCTTCTCCAAGAAGAAAAATTCATTAAACATGATTTAATAATTCTGTAGTTATTTTTAAATTTTACCTTAAATCTCTGTATATTTTTCCATATTTATCTTAAAGGTTAAGGATGGTAAATAAGGAAAGTTTCCAGTTAGTTGAGTACCAGGCAATGAGGTTTCATATAATTAACCTATTTCTTAGAAGACCATACAAAAAGGTATGGAAAAGTGTCTTTTAGTTTGGCTTTTATCCTGCAAAATGTTTGTTATCATTAGTTAACCTTATACGTGAGGCTGACTAGTAAGAACATATCTTGTGTGTATGGACTTCCTGAAATATTTCTAGTAACAATCCATCTACTTGTTATGTACTTCCACACGGTAGGTTGAAAAGACAATTAATATCCCAAATTTTAAAACTACTCCATCGTTAGCTTACCTTTTATCTCAGCATTTGAAAGCATAGAGCCAAATGCTGTGCAAACAAGCAGGGTATAGAGGAATCCGACATCCAAATGAATGAAAGCCATTCCTCCAAGATTCAATACTTTGAAGTTTCCACTCTAAAAAGGAAAAACAACATTTTAACTTTATCTTACTTCAAAATAACCAAATGATTAAATGTGTTTAAAAACACATTTGGAAACTCTATGTTCTTTCTACCAGGAATTGGGGAAAACTGTGCCCCTTCGAACCATGGGGGGAGAAATCAGATTTAGAACCAATAAAATGGAAAGAGAGGATTCTAGGCTCATTTTTCTATAAGAGTAAAAAAAGAAAAGCAAAACAAACTTACAAGAAAACTCTTCATACCCACCCCACACAGAGAGACTTTTCCATACATTACATGCTACACCCAGGATAGGATGACTTCAAATAGCCTTCAGCCTGAAGACTGAGCCAGACCCACCACAGTGTCCTTATTGGTTCACAGTGGGAGTTATGATATCATTAATCTCCATAGCAACCCTCTCCCCCAGCAACAAAGTAAATACGCTGATAAGTATATTCTTTTCTGAGATTAAAAAGTATTTGAAAGTTATCTGACTACTAAGAAAGCATAGAACCTACACCCAAGCCTCAGATACCTCAAAACTTTGCTCCATTTCTTCATAAATATTAAACCACCATCCTCTACTCTTTATCTGTTCCACCCTTCCCTGCTTCCTGTATCAGTAAATAGCACCAAGACGCCTGTGTGGCTCAGGGGTTGAGGTCTGCCTTTGGCTCGGGTCGTGATCCCAGATCCTGGGATCGAGTCCCACATCAGACTCCCTGCACAGAGCCTGCTTCTCTCTCTGCCTGTGTCTCTGCCTCTCTCTCTCTGTATCTCTCATGATAAATAAATAAAATCTTAAAAAAAATAGATAAATAAAATCTTTTTTAAAAAAGGAAATAGTACTATCATCTTCCTAGTTGCCCAAACCAAAAAACCAGAGTTTTCCTCAACTTCTCCCTCTCCCATACAACCTCTCCATTATCACTACCTCTTCCAAGATGAAGAACTTATCATCAGGATCTCATTAGCCAGTCTTTCCTGCCTCCAAACCGTTCTCCATATCACAACACAGCAAGAATGACCTCTCTAAAGGGTAAATCTTACTTTTCAACCATTTCTTAAAACAACACTTCATTATAATAGAATACAACTTAATAGTCTTTACATTCTTGAAGAATATCAGGTTGTATGATCAAAATTTAAAGAATTCATGTCTCCACATACCTACTTAACCAAAAATTACTCTCTTTTCAAAGAAAAACCACTACTCCCAGTTCTATACTTCTCTTTGAGCCTATATTCCTGGAACCAACAATTTCACAGGAAGCTAATGAGTAAAGGTCACTATTCCAACATTCAGAAATTACCTTTCTTTTCTCCTACATAAATTCATTAGACAGAGGAGACTCTCTCTCCCTGCACCACCCTCTTCAACCTACCTGGTCCATATGTAATGTTCTAATGTTGGTAAGTTTCAATTATGACATCATAGAATCTTGAGATCAAACTATTAAAGCCAGCATGTATTTCAGAGACTATGTTAGCCCAGCTTCATTTATATACTGGGAAATAAAACACAGATTTGCCCAAGATTACACAGCCAGTTAGTAAGAGATTTGGGAGTAGGACAGAAATATGATTCTTAATCCAGTGTACTTCCACCCTATTATGCTGGATCCCACAGGTTTGAGGATTATGAAAGCTCTTCCTCTGGGACTCCAGCATTTAAGTCTTCCTTCAATTAGCTAGCCCGACTGAATCAACACCATGCTATTTTTTTTCTATGTCTCATAAAATCATAAGAGAAAAGCATTTTTCTTACTGAGGTTCAATAAATCTCTCTCTTCAATTCCTCCCTGGGCACATGCAAACCTACTACTGTCCTCCCAAGCATCTGTAAGTGGTAGGTAAGTCTATCAACAGATCTTCCACAGAGCTGCTCTCATGGATTGAGATGAACACACTGGTTCCTTTGGGATCTAAGGCAGCAAATAGGTCTGACAAAGAGAAATCCTTTCTTATTACTAATAAGGATGAAGACAATTAAAGCTCCCTTAAACTGCTCCCAGAGAGATCTCTAAAGTTCTCTCTCCCGTATCAATCTGCCCTTATATATTTTCATAGCCCTGTGCCATGTGCAGCACAAATCGTAAGAGTTAAAAATCCCTTGATTCTACTCCTTTTATAGGCTACTGAAATGTGATTCAGGCTATCAAATAGCATATTTCCTAGATCAGCCCAACACATTAATGCAAAGGTAGGAAATGGAATAGTTGGTGTCCTGAGTCACTTGTCTACAAACCTATGAAAGGAGTTCCCTGAATTACAATACACTTAGGATCCCATCTAGACTTTCTCACAAAAATGAATGTGAAGACAACTCTTTCCTTGGCTTCTGGGTTACAAGATTGTCACTTGTGCAATGAGGTGCTTTACACACTAAATGGTTACTAGGAAAGACAGAATTCTTCACAAGAGGGGAAGGGACCGGGCAGCCCCGGTGGCTCAGCGGTTTGGCGCCGCCTGCACCCCGGGGTGTGATCCTGGAGACCCAGGATCAAGTCCCACATCGGGCTCCTTGCATGGAACCTGCTTCTCTCTCTGCCTGTGTCTCTGCCTCTCTCTCTCTCTGTATGTGTCTCTCATGAATAAATAAAATCTTAAAAAAAAAAAAAAAAGAGGGGAAGGGACCTGAAGACAAAGGGAAGATGGTGATGAAAACACAGACATACACATACACTTAAGAGTTTCTGATATACTCTCCACCCCCAGCCCACAGTTAACCACTCATCTGGTCTTAACTCCTTATTTTTAAAAATGAGGAAATACCAATGATGGAAGATGAATTGTCCAAACTCACACAACTTACTGGTGGCAGAGCTAGGACTGAAAACTAGCTCTCATAAGCCCTTTCCACTGAGTAGACAATAAGTTCTCTTGTTATAAGGAGTCTTGTCCTGCATCTATTTTACCAGAATCCCCTGAACTTTGGTCAACCTACTCTCACCACCGAAACCATCAGCCCACCACAGTTTTACCATCATGACATTTTGGCAGAATAATAATAAGCTTTCACTGAGCACCTTTTTTTTTTTTTTTTTTTGCCAAATTCTATTCCAGGTAAATCTTGTCCAAGATAAAAGGTACAAGTGACGAGTCATAAGGTCTGTAATAGTAGCAATCTTCCTATTATTTATTCAGCATTTACAGCATTCCAGACACTACCCTGTACTAAGCACTCTACATACATTATATCATATAATATTTATAGTCAGTCTCTCATGTATGTACTATTTTCATTCCCATTTTAAAGACCAGAAGCTGAGACACAGAGAAATTAAACAACTTCCTGCAAGTCACGCAGACCATAAATGGTGAAGCTTGGATTTGAATCCAGACAGTCTAGTACCAGAGTCCTTGATGATAACCACTAGGCTAGGCATTTTCCACTGCTAAGATCAATGTGGAGGGCAGCTTCCTGTTTCTACCCACTAAGTTTCACACAACACTATTGCTTAAACAGTTTCCCACTGAGAATCTCCTTTAGAATAGCAAGCCTAAACTATTTCCTGTTTTCAGCCTCACTTCCCCACCTCTTCAAAGCCATGCTACATAATCCCCTTGTTCTATGAGGTGGCAGGAGATAATCTTTGCATGATTGGAGACATTCCAGGTACTTACCAATAATATGGTTTCCTCAAGAAATGAATTATCATAGGCAATTATCACAGGTCCTCTTTTTTTTCTCCTCTTCACTTTGGAGACATTAATTAGAATCTCTAATACTTCCCTTCCTGTCTGATAATCAAGCACACTGAAAAAAAAATATATAGATGTTCCTGAAATAGCCAGCAGGCCAGGACAGAGATTCTATAAATCACAAGACAGGGGTGGGAGGTTATGGGTGGGGCTAAAAGCATCTAAAGCGAATTTAGAATTACAGCAAGGTATGTAAAAGCTGACAGGACTAATTAATCTTTGGATAAACAAATAGATATATAGCTGAGAAACTTGTTATAATAAAAGACACAATGTTGTAAGTATCAACCTGGATTTCAACCCTGCCTCAACCACTAATGTTCCTGGAAGCAAATTATAATTCAATTTCCATCTATAAAATGGAGGTAATGACACCAGTCTGGCAGATTTGTGCTGTAGATTAAATAAGACAATGCATCTGAAAGTACTACAAGAAGAGTAAATTGCTCTGTGTGCTTAGGAGGAGTTTGTCTACTTATCAACTGAAGACAGGTCAATTTTTGTTGATCCATTAGTTGTCTTTACTGATATTTGTCTCAATAACAATAACTTCATGATTTTGCTTATTTTTTACAGTTTACAAAGAACTTATTGAATTATTTTAACAAATTCACAGGTGTATAAGGTTGGTATTACATATTTACAATCAGTAACATTGTGGCTTGAAGTGATGTGACTTGCACAATATCTCACAGCTGGTACAATCTGTATGGAAAGGCAAGGTAAAAGAAGGAACAGAAAAAATGCTGCAAGCCAAAGAATGCAGTCACTTACATAATATGGATTTGTGGGGGGAAAAAAGTGCCTTTTCTGCCTTGACAAAGAAATACAAAAAGACAATTCCAACGTATCTAAAATGATTACAAGTTCTTGTTTTGTTTATAAAGGCAGTGAGCAAGTTGCAGAAACACATAATTATTTTTTAGAAAATAATGAATGGGGATCCCTGGGTGGCTCAGCGGTTTAGCGCCTGCCTTTGGCCCAGGGCACGATCCTGGAGACCCGGGGGCGAGTCCCACGTCGGGCTCCCGGCATGGAGCCTGCTTCTCCCTCTGCCTGTGTCTCTGCCTCTCTCTATGTCTATGATGAATAAATAAAATCTTTAAAAAAGAGAGAAAATAATGAATGGAGTTTTACAATGCCACTTCAAGTAACTTCTTAAAAAACACATAAAGCACGGCCATGTTATTTATGTTGCCATTAGACTGAAAAAAAAAAAAACAGCGTTAAAAAATCTGATACTTTCCATTCATATTATTTAAAGTCAGCCAAAGCAATAAGAAAGAGAAAATGGAAAAACAGAGAAGTAGAGTTTAGGGAGAGAAAAATGGAAAAGTAGAGTGATTGCAAAGTTAAATGTCATCAGTGGGTGAAACAATTAATTTATGGGTCTTACGTGAGAAGGCATACTAACTAGGAGATCTGGGCTCTAGCACCAACTTTGCCACAGGATTTAGAAAATAATAATACTAGAGACTAGAGTTTTTTAAGCTCTTTTCAAGTGTCAAGCTCTGTGCCAGATACTTGATAGGGACTAGCTCACTTAAGTCTCACAAACATTTTTAAAATTTTATTTATTCATGAGAGACATAGAGAGACACACACACAGAGAGGCAGAGACACAGGCAGAGGGAGAAGCAGGCTCCACGCAGGGAGCCTGATGTGGGACTCGATCCCGGGTCTCCAGGATCACGCCCTGGACTGAAGGCAGTGCTAAACCGCTGAGCCACAGGGGCTGCCCTGAGCCACCGGGGCTGCCCAAGTCTCACAAACATTGATAGTTACTATATTATTATCCCAATATTACAAATGAGTCATTTGAAGCTCAGAAAAGTTAAGTCAATTACTCAAGGTTATATAACTTAAGCAAGAGAAGATGTGTATACCTGATTTCTTAAAAGACTATGTTCCTTTTAACATATGATACTGTCTATCAACTTATCCCACTTCAGTGAAGCTCAATTTCCTCTCATACAAGTTATCCCTGGGATATCACTGTTTCATCAGTCAATCTGCTGCGTATCCATGCATGGTTTCAGGATGTGACTCAAAAGCACTAGCTTCCTGAATAACTAATCTCGTTTTAAGGAGACCATCCAACATGCACAAATGTCTATTCATAGCTTCTGGTGTATGGCCATGACTCAGCATCATAATCAGCACCCCTAGAACCTGCCAGATCCTGAGTTCTGACAACATGCTGAGATTAATACGTGACTTAATCAGCATATGAACTGGTGGTGAGTCAAATTTAATTTATATAATAACTAGCAAATAACTTGTCATTCATAAAGAATGCTGAAGATGATTTTATGTACTTTTAAACACACAAAAAAACCCTTTGAATCAGACAGATACATCATGCTTGCCACTAGTCAACTCCAAGTCACCTCCCACAAAAATACACAAAAACGTTAAGCACATGCTGAACGATAAAAATCACTGTAGACCAATGAAATATAGCTAGGATCTCTTCAACAAATACCACTTTAACAACTGGTTATCTATAACATGATCGTATTTGTGTCCTTGACAACATTATATTCTAACATTGTATATTGATATTTATGCAATATGTTAAAAAAAAATCTTGTGAAACACAGGTAGTCATCTTATTCCCTAATTCTTTTTGTAGATGCTTTCCTGCATGACATCCTGAGATCATCCAACAAGTTTCCTAAAGCATTCACATAGCCAGTAAATTCAGTTTTGAGCTACAATAGCAACTGCCAGATTTACAGTATTAATTCATGAAGCAGTTTATACATTTCAGAATCAGTCCCTAATCTGAGCTGATCAGGGCTTTATTAGTTTATAATGCCACCCAGAAAACCACCAACAGGCTTTTACAACCGCTTAAAAAAACCCCTCCCACTTCATCTACTTCTTAGAACAGGTCAAATTGTTATTATGAAATATACCTTACATTCTATTCAAGTGAAGTCACAGCTGTAGAGCAATGCAGTATCTTGAAAGGCACCACTTCTCTGGAACTAGCAAAACAATCTCTTTTGTTCAACACCCTTCTCCCCACTACCAGATGCTCCCAAATACTTGTCAGCAAGCAAACACTGTGTACTCAAAACATTCACTTTGCACATAATAACTTCAAAAGTAAATAATAGAGTGTGCCCCACCCCCTCCAATTAAGTAAAAACAATACAAATTGTACCATAGCAGGTCTTTTTTTTTTTTTTTTAGATTTTATTTATTTATTCATGAGAGACACACACACAGAGAGGCAGATACACAAGCAGAGGGAGAAGCAGGCTCCATGCAGGGAGCCCGATGTGGCACTCGATCCCGGGACTCCAGGATCACACCCTGGGCCAAATGCAGGCGCTAAACCGCTGAGCCACCCAGGGATCCCCCTTAGCAGGTTTTATATGACTTCAAGGTTATTCTACCAGTATGTTCCTTCAAGTCCATGAGGTATAAACTGTAAATATATGAAAATATGGTATTATATCATACATATACCATCCATTATAGAAAAAATGCTGACAAAAACATATCAATATTTCTATCATGTATTCATTATTTAACAATCAGTTCTGGGAGCCTACTACATGCCAGGCCCTTTTCCAGGCATATGAGATACAACAGTGAACAAGCAAAAAACATGCCCTCCTAGTACTTTCTGATGTGGGAGACAGCCCATAAACATATCAAATAATTATAATTGCTAATTATAATTTTTATTAAAAAAATAAAGCAAGATAATATGAAAGAGAGTAATAAGGGCTCTTTTTAGATGGGGTAGCCAGTGGCATTAAGGACCTCAAGAAGTAAGGAAATCAATCAGGTAAAGACACAGGAGAAGAATCTTCCAGGTAGAAGGAACAGCACATTCAAATGCCCTGATGAGGGAATCAGCTTAGTAGTTCTGGAAATAGCAAGACCAGCAGGACAGGAAAGAGAAAAGGTCATATGATCCCATAAAGATAGGCAGACTATAGACCACGGTAATAAATCTCTCATTTATTTTAGTAAAATGGGAGGCAACTGGACAGTTGTTAAGTATAGTAACACGATGTATTACATAACTATTACATAATATGTATGGGGAAAGGGCAGAAGCAATTATGCAGGCTAAAGCTGATGGTGACAGGGATCAAGTTGATAGCAAGTGGAGATGCTAATAGGATCTACTGATAGACTGAGTGCAGAGTATCAGAGGATGATGCCTCTATTTTTCTCATGGGCAACTGGATAATTATTAATGTGGCCTGGGGATGATAGACAAGAGTTCAGATTTCTATGGTTCAGTTTAAACTGCCTAACTAGTAGCCCAGGTGGCTCAGTGGTTTAGCACCACCTTCAGCCCCCGGTGTGATCCTGGAGACCCAGGATCGAGTCCCGCATCGGGCTCCCTGCATGGAGCCTGCTTCTCCCTCTGCCTGTGTCTCTGCTTCTATCTCTGTGTGTGTGTGTGTGTCTCTCATGAATAAATTAATAAAATCTTTAAAAAAATAAAATAAAATAGGGCAGTGCTGGTGGCGCAGCGGTTTAGCGCCACCTGCAGCCCAGGGCGTGATCCCGGAGACCCTGGATGGAGTCCCACGTCGGGCTCTCTGCATGGAGCCTGCTTCTCCCTCTGCCTGTGTCTCTGCCTCTGTGTGTGTGTGTGTGTGTGTGTGTGTGTGTCTTTCATGAATAAATAAAATTAAAAAAAAAAAGATCTAATGGATTTGGCCAATGGGAAATAATTGGTGACATTGATAAGGGACCAGGTGGAATATCTGAAGCAAAACTCAGATTAAAGTGGGTTCAGGAAAGAATGGATGGGCCAATGGAGACAACGAGCACAGATAACTCTGCTGAGAAGTTTGCTATAAAGGGACCTATGTGATCACAGGTGCTCCTGCTGGGAGGAAATCACTCATTTTTTCCCTCTTGAAAACATAAATGGAGAACATCTTATATGAAGGTCTGATCCTACTTTTCCTTGGTTTTTTTTAAAGGTTTATTTATATATATTTTTAAATATTTTATTTATTTATTCATTCATGAAAGACACAGAGAGAGAGAGAGGCAGAGACATAGGCAGAGGGA